TTAGTAGCTGAGAGAGGGCTTAGAATTAGGATGGTAAAGTATTACTTTCACCTTAGAACCTCCGGAACAAGTCTCCTACAGCATGCAGATGCTCCATTGTTCAAAAGCTAACCTGGCTTGTGTGCACATGACATTTATTTAGATTTGTCAGGATAATATAAGTTACTGGAGCTACTTTCAATTTGTGCTTGTGTGTGCAGTGAAAAGGAGCACCACTGCTCCTTCCCCAGCGAGGAGGCTGGGCGCCAGGCCAGGAAGCTGTCTCAGGCTGAAGCCAGGAACAATGGCTTTCTCCCAGAGATACCGACTCCGGTGGAAGCAGGGAAGGGCTCTGTTCCCAGACTGTTTTCCTAGTACAGGGAAAGGCTTCAACACCGTAAGTCCTTGCGTGGGACAAGCATCGGTGCAGAGAAGAGGCCATCCTTTGTCTGCAGAGGGCTGGAGGCAGGGGAGGTGGCACAGGGGAGGATGCTCCGGTTCCAGTTAAGTGCAGTCGGCTTAGTGCTCCCAAAGCTGCTTAGCCCTTCATTCTGCCAGAGGGCAGTTTTTAAAACAGGCAAAGCCTCTTACACTGGAAAGGCCAGGATTTGATGGAGGTGCTGACTGTTCTCAATACCCTGCGGGGAAATGGCTGTAGAAGATGCTGGCACAGGGTTGGAAAAGGTGATGACCCCCAAGAGCTGGGGGAGAGAAGCCTTTTCCCTGTCCTGTCCAAGCAGGGCGGTGGAGCATTTGGCACTGAGACTGTCTTCATAGGCATCAGGTTTGGATGAAAAACAGGGTAATAGTGGAGATGCATTTGGGCTGTTCTCACTGCTGGTTGTGACCTCCAAATAATAGCCAGAAATACCTGGTAATTCTGAGCAGCCTTCATTTGATTTTGCTTTCCTCTGCAGATTATTTGTGCACTCCAGAGGAAAATGTTTACAAGATAGACTTCACCAGGTTCAAAATCCGGGACATGGAATCTGGAACGGTCTTGTTTGAAATCACCAAACCAGCAGCTTCAGGTGAGTGCACACATGCAATAGTGTTTTCATGAACAAACAAAATGCTAGTGTCTGCTTCCTTTTGCCTTTTCCCACTCCTTTTGCTCAATACATTTCCCCAAAATAGGAAATGCTCTTGACTGCAAGAGGGCTAGAGTCCCAGCTTGCAGCAGAAGTATTTTCCAGGTGCCCCTTAGTACCAACACAGTGAACAGAACTCCTTGCTCTTGTGTTCTTATGATTGCCATCTGTGATGAGAAAGGACAGATGGATGTTGTAAACAGAAGCAAAAGAGGAGGAGGAGATCACTGTGTGTTAGTTTCTTGGCTGTTCATCAGCTAGAGTCCCCCTGCACATAGTTTAACTGTCAGTCTAACAACTTTCACTCAGGAAAATGGTATTTCCAAAAGGAAGACACTTTGTCAATTGTGCAAATTAGACAAGCTGAAAATTTGCATTTTTTTTTTCTTCATAATTTTTAGTGGTCACTTGTAACCATCAAAGTGTTACCTGTTGCCAGTGGTAGCAGAAACCCAGGGCACTGTTCTTTTCCCGATCTAACACTCTTAAATCTTCCCCATCACCCTGCAGGTGAGAGGAAGTTTTCTGTAGCTTAGGGATAGCAAACCAGACATGCTAAAGTGAAATGGCTTGTTCAGGGTCACACCACAATCCTGAATCAGGATTCAGAGTAAGTCACTTCAGAAGATAAGAAATGTATCAAACCAAAGGACCGTCCTGCAATACTCTGTCTGTGAGTGAGCAGTAGTGGATGCCTTAGAGAGGGTAGGAAGAAGGGAAGCACATCCTCAGGCTTTCTCAGGATGATTTCCTGACTCAAGAATCACAGGATGGTTTGGGTTGGAAGGGACCTTAAAGCTCATCCAGTTCCACCCCCTGCCATGGGCAGGGACACCTCCCACCAGCCCAGGTTGCCCAAAGCCTCATCCAGCCTGGCCTTGAACCCCTCCAGGGATGGGGCATCCACAGCTTCTCTGGGCAACCTGGGCCACTGCCTCAGCACCAGCACAGGAAAATATTTCTTCCTCAGATCTCATCTCAATCTCCCCTCTTTCAGCTTAAAGCCATCACCCCTCGTTCTGTCCCTCCACCCCATGATCCAGAGCCCCCCCATCTCTCCTGTAGCCACCTTTCAGCACTAGAAGGTGCTGGAAGATCTCCCTGGAGCCTTCTCTTCTCCAGGCTGAACAACCCCAACTCTCTCTCTCTTGGACGGGAGGTGCTCCAGTCCACTGATCGTTTCTGTGGTCCTGTGATTGCAGGTGTTTTTGTGGCCCTGTATGACTGCAAGTACTTTCACTGGGTATCTGTTTCTCAGATGAATGTGATGGAACTTTACTTTGTGCTTTTCCAGAACGTGAACACAATGACAAGAAGGACATTGACCCCAACGCTGGACGGTTTGTACGCTATCAGTTTACCCCAGCTTTTCTTAGACTTCGGCAAGTGGGAGCCACGTAAGTAATTGCTCCTGTGCTACTTTTTCTAGTACAGGAAACAACTGAAATCTTATAAAAAGCAGCTCTTGCTTGTTGGTCCTGTCAGGAAGTTGATTTAATTGGGAGTTTTTGTTATTATGAGGATCTCCAAATGTCTTTGCTGGATGCCTTGCTTTCTCTAACCCTTTAGCTTGTTTATTTACCTCAGGCATAGGCATGGTGTTGAAGAGCTAAAAGGGGCCAAATAAGGTGGACAGACTAGAACTATTTTTGAGAGCTTGATTAAAATTCACCATTCGGTTATGATGGAAAAGAATTAGAATTTGTTATCAGAGAATATATTTAGAGCAAGGTTGCACATTACCACCACCTGCTAATCTTAGTATAGTATAATCTGTGATTTGTAATGCTATGTTGTGTCCTTGTAGCATGCTTTAAGGAAAAGAGGAAACAATACTTTGGTTAGTACCATTGCTCTATATTTTTGGCTTTTTTGAGAAGAGCTGTCTTCTGTCTTTCAGGAATGGTGGCAAATCTTGCTTAAGCAGGAAAGCTCATTTCAATCTTATCCTTCTTTTTCAGGGTGGAATTCACAGTAGGGGACAAACCCATTAATAACTTCCGCATGATTGAGAGGCACTACTTCCGGGATCAATTGCTTAAGAGTTTTGACTTTGAATTTGGGTTCTGCATCCCCAGCAGTAAAAATACTTGTGAGCACATCTATGAGTTCCCACAGCTCTCTGAGGATCTCAGTAAGCTCCCTTTAATTACTGGGTTACCATGTAGTGATGTTAATCTAAGGTGTTTTGAAGAAGCCCTTTCTTAAGAGCTGTCCGTAGAAAGTGGGTAGGGTGGACTACTTCCAGGTAGTTTGCACCTGTGTTAATACAGGTTTTGTTTTCTAGTAGCATGTATCTTGTCACCCACCAGACAGTTTTTTTTTTTTTTTTTTTTTTTTTTCAGTTCATAAAAGGGAAGCTTCAGTATCAGGGAGAAAAAAGATAATTGTGTTATAAAACAACAACAACAACAAAAGGATTAAAAAGATGTCCAATAAATGGATGACTTAAATGTTATGTTCTGGTTTAATGGTTGATGTGCTATATTGATAGCTCGAGAGGTTGCAGTTTTACTATGAACATAACTTTTATTTTCTCTCCTGAGACACAATAGTGTGAGTACTAAATCTGTGGGCTCTTATATTCTTTACAACCCCTAATCGTGTATGTCAGCACTACTATTACAGTCTGTGGAAAATACAGTGATGCACTGCTGCTTCCTTATTGTCACACCAGAACAAATTTATTTCGAGTTTGCCGTTTTATCACTTTTTAAAAAACAAAACAGAAAAAAAAAAAAAGCCCAAAACTCTAGTGGGATATTGTTTTGAGGTTAGGTAGAGCACTTAACCCTTTGCATGGTGCCTTAACATAGTTCAATTATGTTTGAGTTCTTTAAAATATACTGTTAAAGACTGGTTTGGGTAGGTTCTTGTTTTGGTTTTTCACTCGAGAGTTTGCTGGTATCTGAGCAATGCTATTAAATGTAACTGAAACCCAGTGCAGAGTGTTGCCTTGGTAGGGCTTCTGTATAACATGATTAATATTTTTTTTTTCTTTTTGTCCCCTGCAGTTCGAGACATGATCCTTCATCCATATGAGACACAGTCGGACAGTTTCTACTTTGTAGACAACAAGCTCGTGATGCACAACAAGGCAGATTATTCATACAGTGGAGGACCTTGAGCACAGGATGGACAGCCAACCTGTGCTGGCCTTCCCTTTCCTACCGATGTCGTCAGGGATACCAACACCTTCCGTTCAGTTGCCTACGCTGTCAGCTGGACAAGGATCCACAAACCAAGGACTTTTTGCCACAGTAGGAGTTTCATGACTAAATTTGCCAGTCTCACCTTTTTTGAGCTCTGAAGCAGACCCAATTCTTCAGAATTTAAAGCGGTTCTACAATGCTAGAAGATCTTTGGATACCACTTCCCTAAGTTCTTTAAGTGTCTGCTTTGAAAATGGCCTCGTGGGACCTGGGGGATTTTGCCCTAATTCTGCGAATTTGTGTTCTTGCCCTCAAGTATCTTTTAGAATACGATTATTTTCTCAAAGAATGTAATCTGAGAAACCACGTGAGTGGATGGATGCAAATGCAGAGTTTTGTTTATGTGTTTCTCTGTGAATGGTTCAAAGGCATGGCCAATTTAACTTGTACATCCAGTTGAAAATGTCGAGCATTACATCTTAACAAAAAAAAGTTTCATCTCTGGATTAGTTCTCTAAATAAGTATCTCATCCTTTAGTTTTGTTCCTTCTATGTAATATTCTGTTTCATCTTGACTGAGCCTCGCAATGAAGACCAGTAGTTCAGTGACAGAGCTGTTTTTAATCGGGTACTGGCCTTTTACATTTCTGATGAAGACAAAATAGCATTGAGGGTCTATGAACCCCCATAACCATTTTCCACTGTTTTCAGATTTTGAAAACTGATGGCAGAATAATCAGGAAAAATTGAAGGATCTTAGATCTATTTAACATTTTTACGTAGCTAATATTCAGTCTACTCATGCTATATATTTTCCATGTCTGTTTTCTTTCATCTTTGCTCAATATTATGATAAGGGCTTCAGCACTGCTTGTTAGAGCAACGCTTTCATTTGTCTAGGGCAACTGGAGAGTGTGGAATTTCCAATTTTTCATTTGTATCTGAATTTGAAGAATGTTATGACAATGTTTCCCCTTTTTAAAAAATGTTTTGCATTGGATATTAATACAGGTGAAACATTAAGTCTAATAATGTAGGACTTTAAGGCACAGCAAAAATTTGGTAAAAGCTCTCTCTTCAGATTCTGCAAGAAGCTTAAGACCAATTTTGCCCAAGTTCCTCAGCATGCGCTTCTTAAAAAGATAGAAGTGCAAAGAAGTAGCAACATCAAGAGAGTAAACTAGTGTATGCAAAACAAAACCTGAGGAGGCTGTGTGGGGTAGACTGTTGTCATGAAACCCTTACTCTAAAGGTCAGTTCACTGATACTTCTAAAAAAAAAAAAGGCAGTTGCAGATTGTAGATATTTCTATAAATACTTGATGTCTCCATGTCTACTTCTGTGAGTTTGTGGAACATTATATGTTAGCCTCAGATAGGTGTGATTGTAGTGATTTTTATAAAATACCATTTCCAGTTGTGATTACCATCTTTCTAGTCACAGCCTAAGTCAACCAGAACTACAAATGGTTCCAAGTGTAGCCATCTGCCTAAGAACAGGGAAGTTTTTGTGCTCTCATTGGGGTTGTGATCACTGTTAAATGTGTTACCATTTGTATTTGGCTTGGCTTTTTTCACTTCTGAAAGAGGATTCAGTGTTCTAAAGAACATGCAGTGAGTTTAGGTTACAGCACAGAATTTTTAATTGACTGGTAGCTAGGAAAGTACGTAAAGTTCACTGATTTTACACAACTAGTATCTTCTAGTAATTGTTATCTCAATGAGACTTGTATTTATCATTATTTTTTGTCTCTAGTGTATTAAATCAAACAATTAGCCTATGGCCGACTTACCTGTTTTGAAAGTTACAAAGAATTTCCTCATTATTTGTACAATGCTTTGAACTACTGATCATTAAGTTTTATAGCACAATAATTACTAAAGGTGAAAATAGTTTCAAAATTCTAGATCCTTCCCCACCCCCCCTTTTTTTTTTTCTTTTTTTCATCAGGGCTATTAAACTATCTATATATTCAATGACATTTTGCAAGTTTAAGTATTTATGAATTTTGTTCCAATTCTTGAAGACAGAAGAGAGTGTGTGTTTGTGACGAGCACCCTACACAGGTTTTTGGGGGCTATCTTTCAGCTCTCACCTGCTGTTCATAATAACCACCTCGGTACATAAGTTTTTAAAAGACTAGCAATGGTGCTTGCCCTGATTTGCCAGTTGTACATTTCAAACAGATGTACGTTTCAAATAGAAATGTACATCCTGGTATATTTTGATCAGAGCAGCTGTACTTTGGTGCAGACTCTTGTCAGTCTTGGGTTATCATACCCAGTATCCTCTCTGTATAACATATCATTGTCAGCTCATCTGAAACAGTCGTGTTCTGCTCCTTTTTCATGCTACCTCCTTTGAAGACTTCAGACTTCAAAAAACAAAAGTAATTCCATAAAAATATTGCTGTAATCAATGAAAACATGAGTGGTAGGCATGCCCCTTTAAGAAGGAACCTAGAGAAAGGGACCTTGCTCCCAGCAGTGCAGTATGTTGTTGAATGGACTTTCTGCCACTCTGCATTTTATGTAGGTTTGAGGTTAAACATAAGATGACCCACTACTGATCTCCTGCATGCTGCTAGCTGTTCTGATAATTCAGAGTCAATGGGTAATAATTTCAGGCTAAGAGAAAATTTAGTGTGAATCAGAGAGGAGATGTTTTATTGAGTTAATTTGTTGTATGCTATAATTAGGAATACTTTAAAACAGGAACAAATATTGGACTTTTTCAATAAAATAAATTTCAACCTATTTTAGCTATAGCTTTCCAGTTTGAGGAATTTTACTTCTTTGAAAAGTCCCCACAATTTGCTGTAAATAACAAGTTCTGATTCTTAAACCAAAACAAATCACAAAACTTTCTGTGGGAAGTGTAACAAAGGTGCTTTTTTCTGTACTCCACTGCAACAGTCATCACAGTTACTGCTCTGTTTCACTTGGAAAATGGTTGTTTCCATTTCTTTAAGGTCATCTACATCCACAATGTTTCCAAACATGTGGGTTTGTCCAGAGGTTCCATTCCTTTTCTACCTGTTTATTCAGCAGCATAATGTGTAGTGTTGACATTATATTGTTGCACATAAACAGCAGTAGAAGAGTTTCTTCAAAAACTTTTGCAGTATAGTAGCTGTTCTAATGCCACTTCTGTCCTTGTTTTGCATTAAAACTACTTGCAAAATTTAACGTGCTTTACAGCACTGAACAACTTCAACTTTCATCTGAAAGGGAGCTGAGAGCTCTCAAGTCAGTCATAAAATGAAACCCACATTTTTTCCCTTAAATTGACAGCTGATTCTTCTTATAAAGCAGGTGAAAATCAAATCTTAACAGCATTGTTCACAGAATAATTTGTTAGTCTTCCTGACTAGTTATTATTTTGTATTTTAATATTAATCATTATTGGGTTTGCTTTGGAAGTTTATCTCCCAAATCACCAAATATTGGCTCTGGAAAAAGAATTCTTGTATTTTTTTATTTGGTCTCATTTTAAAAATTATTTTAATTAGCACTACAGCTCTGTTTTAACACGCCAGTCTGGAAATTCGGGATCTGACTTTCTGAAAGTGAAAGAAAACATCAAACAGCTAACCAAGATTATCTGCTAATAATGAGTAGCTGTTTCCTGTTGTAAGACATGATTATACATGTACTTTACAGAGTGAATTAATCTTGGAAAAAGAAACTAAGTCTCTGTGAGTACTAATAATGACATAATTTTTCTGAGAGACAAGGAAATTATAACTCAACACATTCTTTCACTTTCTCAGTCTTTGATTCCTTTAAACTTCAGGTTCTTTTAAGAAAAGCAACAGTAATACATTTGTGGTTAACTGCCATGCTGCATGGTCTAATAATTCACAAACTTTAGTGGCAGAAAGAGAATAATTTATTTTTAAGATTAACACATGAAATATAAGTATGGTTTAAATTTTAGAAACTTTGTTCTCTGATCAGTGGCAAAAGCCAAAATTGTTTCTGTGAATGTATCCTTTATGTGGTGACATTTATGAAATAACTGTATAATCCACCCTCCCTGACTCAGAAGATATTTTTTTTTTTAATGTAGAAAGTCTCATCAGGTTTGAAAGCAAGGTGTTGGGTTTAGTTCTTGCTCATCATCTCTCGCTATGTCTTGTTTTTGAGCAGGCCAGTAAGATAGCTCTATTTGCCACCTCTGTCCTCCATTGGAGTTTAGTTTCAAAAACTTCTGTGGAATGTCAAAGTGGTGGCTGTCTGTGTGTGAAACATTGCAAGGTACCAAGTTCCAAATTCCTTTGTTTTGAGCAAACTGACTATTATATTGAGAAATAGCGCTACATGTTGATCCATAAAAACTAGATTCCAATCTTCATGACAAGAAATAAAGGGAACTCTTATTCATGCAAAGATTATTTGGGGGCTATTTAAGGTAAGAAAATGGTAATATTCAACTCTTGTAATTAATATGTATTATAAAAATGTTCTAATAATTATTCATAGCCTGAAAAAAATATGGTTGACAGCTTAATTTTAATTAGATCCTATTAGGAATGAAACTATAGAGAATATTGCTATCCCTTACTGGGGGAGCAGGGAAGAGCAACTAGAACTGCATGTGTTGCACAGAAGCTGGAGAGGTTTATGTGCATTGACTCTGGAGGTAAAAGTGATCTTTGTGAAAAAATGAGGGAGAGGGACAAGGACAGGAAAAGAGTTAATTTCAGCTAATTGGAACCAAGAGCTTTAAGGCCATGGTAAATGTAACTGCTTTCTCTCTTGAGTTTGGGATAGCTGGTAGTTTCTGTCAGCAGTTTTTTTCTATACCCCTGTGCAAGCACTACCTAAGTTTACACAAATGTTTCAATATTAATCAGATATTAAATCTCATTGACAGTTCATATAATTTTCTAAACATTTCTAAACTATTTGAAGAGTGTGATACTCTAGGCCTCAAGTGCAGCTCAGTTGTTTTCTAAATCACAGGACAGTCT